TTTTTCTTTAAGATAAAATTGAGGATCTGTGCAATCCTTTTTCTAGACTCAAATGCCAGAGTATGAAGATTTAAGAAATAATGTGGTCAAAATCTGTTAAATGGGTCCGCTCTTGCAAAAGGTAGACTACTTATGTGAAAGGAAAATGTTATTTAGGTAAATTTTACTGATGAGAAGTGCTGGATTATCAGGAGAGGAAATGGAAGAATAGCACTGTAAACATCAGCAACCCAGCTCATTCCAACTCTTGGATTGAGCAGATAGTTTGATTGTCCATTCAGTCATCGGCTCCTCTTGAAACTGCCCCAAAGGGTCCAGTTTCTGATTTTCTCTACTATGATCAAACTGAGACTTGCAACTTGCTTTGTGTGAGCCACTGAATAGCTACCAGAAAGTAGCTGTTAAACCTGAGGCTAGGTGGGTAGTCAATTTTTGACTATTCACCTGGAAGTGGAATAAACAGTATTCTACCACTAATCCCTTGTGCTGTGCAGCAGGTAGATGCCTTCCCCACCACTTGAGGAGGACAAATTAAAATGTTAGTATATTAGTACCACTGAGGATAATGCCATGATAATCTTGTAGGCATACTTTTAAAGTATTTTGGTAAAACCAAGAATGGGAGGAAAGGAATCCAAAATGTCACAGTATTCTTTAGTTTTTACTGATGTTTTATTTATATCTTTATATCTTTTGTTTCACTGTGATTCTACAGAGATAAATAAACATTCCCTTTAAGTAAATGCTTATTTAATATGGCTATTATCGCTGTCCTCAGTAGTATAGGATCCAGTACGCATTAGTACAGCAGGGTTAGACTCTAATCAGGGCTTTATTAAAGATGCTTAACAGTACTGCTGTAAGTGGAAAGTTAGGACCTAATCCAAAACACACTGAAGCTAACAAAAAGATGATTGGAACTTTACTAGGCTTTGAATTGAGCTGTTAAATGCAAGAACAAGCCAGTTCACGTGACAAGAGACTCACTATGAAGTTAAGCATTAGTGTTTAGTAGAAGAATTCCTGATGGATTCATATGCGTAGTCTACAAATGCTGGATTTAAAGTTCTGTCTGTTTCTCCTCTAGAATAATTGTTTGAGCAGACCAATCATCTACCTCATTCCAGATATAGAGCTGAAGTTGGCTAACAAACTAAAGGATATTGTCAAACGTCACCAGGTAATGGATATAAAGCTCATGCAAGTCTTTGTGGTGGTGTTTTTACATTTTGTGTGTTTGCAGCCATTGTTGTAAGGGGGACCTGTAGGTGTCATCCTAGAACTGTGCACCTAAGAATAAAGCAGGATAGAGATGGGAGTGTCTTAGGGAAAGGAGTACATGTGGGGGTCAGGAGGCCTGGATTCTGTCCCTGGCTGTCTTGGAGTTCTGAGGGTCCTTATGCATGTCACAAAGGTGCTTTGTTTCCCTGTCTTTCAAAATGCAGTAATACCTCATGCATAGGGAGGCTGACCACTTCACTTGTTCATATTACATTTAAGCCCTTTGATATCTGGAGTGTCCCCTACAAGCATGAACTCTGAGTATAGTACTTGCATTGCCTGCAGCAGTTTTTTCCAGCCAAATAGATGCTGCCTGAGGCAGGAGCTGACAATTTATCCAAATTTTAGACTTAAAGTTGGAGAAGCTAAACCTTTAAGCCAGAGGTGCTCTGATTTTAAGAGAACCCTGCCCAGTTAAAATAGAATCATAGAAAACAAGGGTTGGAAAGGACCTCAGGTGATCATCTGGTCCAAACCCCGTGCTCAAAGCAGGGTCAGCCCGAACTACATCCCATAGCCGGCTCTTAAAAACCTCCAAGGGTGGAGATCCCACCACCTCTCTGGGTAACCTGTTCCAGTGCTTTACTACCCTCCTTGTGAGAGTTTTTCCCAATATCCAACCTCAGCTTCCCTTGCTGCAGCTTGAGCCTATTGCTTCTTGTTCTGTCATCTGCCCCCACTGAGAACAGTCCAGCTCCATCGTCTTTGCACCCCTCCTGCAGGGAGTTGAAGGCTGCTATTAAATCCCCCCTCGGTCTTTTCTCCAGACTAAATCAGCCCAGTTCCCTCAGCCTCTCCTTTATAAGTCATGTACCCCAGCCCCTGAACCATTAGCCAGTA